GAGGTCCCAGACAGAGTGGGAGAAAACACTGAACAAAACTCAAAATTATTAAAAAGACCACGCTTACTGGTCTGATAGAAACTGATGGAACCCTTGAGACTATGGCCCTTAGACACTTTTCAAGCCTGGAACTGGACTCACCTCTGTGGCTCAACTTTCAGCCCAATGACAGGCCTATAAGATGAGCAATAATAGCACCAGGGAGGTATGCATGCCTTAGAACAATCAACCATATGAGATCAAAAAGGCAGCATTTGCCCAAGAATGAAGCTCAAAAGGCAGGAAGGGATAGGAAAGAAGATGAATGGAAATGGTAAACACAGGGAGGAAGTGCCAAGAGTGCTGTTACATTGTGGGGACTGCAATTAATGTCATAAAATGAAATGTGCATGCATGCTGAATGGGGAACCAATTTGCTCTGTAAAGTTTCACCAAATCACAGTGAAAAGTTAAAACAAAAAGGATTGGTGGCTCAAACCCACCCAGCACCACTGCAGAAGAAAGGCCTGGTGATCTGTTTCTGTAAAGATTACAGCCAAGAAACCCTATGAAGCATAGTTCTACTTTGTAACACATGGAGTCGCCATGAGTCAGAATCGACTCCATGTCAGTGAATTTGTTTTGTTTGTTTGGGCCTCAGCTCCTTAATCTGTAAAAATTAGAATATAATAGTACCCACCTCATAAACCAAAACCAGTTGCTGTGGAGTTGATTCTGATTCATGGCAACCCGATGTGTATCAGAGTAGAACTGTGATCCGTAGGGTTTCCAATGGCCACTTTTTTGAAAGCAGATTGCTAGACCTTTCTTTCAAGACGCCGAGTTTGGTGGACTCAAACCTCCGGCCTGAGAGCAGTGAAGTGCTTAACCGTTAGCACTACCCAGGGACTCCACCCATCTCAGAGAGGTGTTTAGTAAATTGGATATAAGGAAAGTGTTTAGAAAAGCTACATAATAAGCCCCCGATAAGTACTTGTTAAGTAAATGGGGTTTGCTGTGGGGCCAGCCAGGATGGGAGTCTCAGCTCTCTGCCACTTAACTAGCTGGGCAACGTTGGGGAAATCATTTGACCTCTCTGTGCCTCAGTTTCCTGGGGCAGAGTAGTCATGAGACTTGTCATGAGGAGTAAATGAGATCGCTGAGTGCAAAAGGCTCTGCGAGCTGCAGAGGAATGTGCACATGCGGAGCTTGCTCTCTGGCCAGGCTCTGCAGTCAGTGCACGCCCTTGGTCCCCGAACGCTCTGGCTGGCTCCCACCAGCCTCCCTCTCTTCCTTCCCAGCCCATGTTCCTCTCTCTGGCAAACCAGGCTCCTCCTTCTCTGCCTCCTGCCAAATGCACTTCTGTCCAGGAGGCCTCCTCAGCCTGCATCCCTGGCATCACTTGCATCTATGCTCTTGCCCCTCTGGGGTGTGTGTGTGTGTGTGTGTGTGTGTGTTTGTCTCCCCTTCCAGCTGTGAGCTTCTCCCTGGCCAATGCTGCTCCTCCCTGGGGGAAAAGCCAGGTCAGGCTGCTGTTTTTTTTTTTTTTTTTTCCCCTACAGTACAAGGTCTTGCAAACACTTCCACTTGTAATAATAATAATATTGAATAGAATTAATACTGGCCAACTCAATGAGCAGTTAGTAGTGCTAGGCACTATTCTAAGGAGCTCTGGTGGTATAGTGCCTAAGGCATTTGACTGCTAACCAGAAGTTTGGCAGTTCAAATCCACCAGCCACTCCACAGAAGGAAGACTGGACAATCTACTTCCATAAAGATTTACCGCCTCGGAAACCCAAGGAGTTCACTATGAATCGGAATCGACTTGATGGCCCTGAGTGAGTTGAGGCACTATTCTAAGGAGCCCTAGCGGCACAGTGGTTAAGCATTAGGTTGCTGGCCAAAAGGTTGGCAGTTCAAACCCACCCAGAGATACCTTGAAGGAAAGGCTTGGCAATTTGCTTCTGACAGGTCACAATCTTGAAAACCCTATGAAACAGTTCTACTTTGCACACATGAGGTGGGCGTGAATAGGAACTGACTCAACAGCAACTAATTCATTTAATGGCCATAACCATCTTATAAGGTCGGTTCTAAGCTCTAATTCGCAGTTGAGGAAACTGAGGCAGTGAGCAGGAAAATAACTTTCCCAAGGCCACTTAGCTGGTAAGCCCCGCTCTCTTCTACACAAATGCTCTATGTGTTTCCTGGTGAGTCTCCTGCACTGAACCAGTTGCTCTATGATGGTGGGAACCCATTCCGTCTTGTTCACCCAGCACAGGGCCCGGCACAATGGAGGGAGGAGCTCTGTAGATCTTTGTTGAATGAATGAATGCAGCCCATTGTGCCAAGCCTACAAAGCTATTTTTCCCTGCTGGAGTAGGACACAATTGGACGTCACAGAGGTGACCACCCCAGGGCAGCCAGCAGTGCCATGCAGGAGGTGCCTGGGGACTGCATGCCTCCACTCACATCTCCCAGGCCAGGTCTCCAACACTCTGATTCCCCAGGAAGCTGTTTTCTTTTAAGTTTCCTTATTTCTCTCTTAAGCCTAAGTTGTCATACCTCCACTCGCCAAACACCCTGGGAGAGCTGCCCAGTGGTCTGGGCTGTGGTCCTAATCTGGCCTCTCTCCATTTTCTCTCCTCCTCTCTGATTTTCTGCAATAGCTTCTCCTCCTCCCCACAGACTGACCCACTTCCCAGACTCTTCTATTCTCCTCCACACCCTGCTTGGTTCTATCCTCCAAGTCTGTCTTCTACATTTTCAGCTACCCATTTATTTCCTTAGTCATTTTTCCAGATTTTGCTTTTTCTGTAATCATTTTAAACACAGTTATTTGAAAGTCTTTTCCAGATTGTTGTATCGTCTCAAGTTTTGGAGATAGAAATCCTCCTGTTTGTAGTGTACGTTGTCTCTTGCTCATGGTGGCTCGGTTCCTCAGGTGCTTTGTAATTTCTGATTGTGAGCTGAAGCCAGAAGCATTTTTCTCAGGGGTGATCCAAGTGCCCTGGGTTATTACAGCTCCCTCCACATGTGATTTTGCCTTTGTCTCTGTTGAGATGCTCCAGTCTGAACCAGTTGAAGAATTCTCCAGTTGTATATATATATTTTAATTTTATTGTGCTTTGGGTGCCATTTACAAAGCAAATTTGTTTGACCAGTTCATGCATATTTGATTTCACACCCCAATTACCATCCCCAACCATAACAAACTCTCCTCCCCTCTCATCCCTGTAACCACCCCCTCCCTGTGACGTTTTTAACTATGCACTTCTGTCTGTCCAGCTTTCCCTCTACGTGAATGCTGCCCCTCTGGTATATCATGGCTGATTGCTCTAAGGGGTGCATCTCCCTAGAGTAGGTGGGTACATTGCCCTGGGGCAGGTGTTCTGCATGTAGGTCTTTCTATTGTTGGGCTGAGAGCCAATCCATGGGAGTGAGTCCATTTCTAGGCCCGAAGGTAACCCAGGGCCATAGTTCTGGGTATTCTACCAGTCTCTATCAAACTGGTTATTCTGGTCATTTTTGTGTTTTTGAAGGGATTGGTTTTCTTGACATCTTCCAAAGCCAGTGGGTGGGCTTTTCCTAGGTCCCTGAGGGTGCAGGCTTCAATGATGTTAGCTGAACTTAAGAGCACTAGTTCCAGCTTTCTGCCTTGTAAAGGCCAGTGCCTCAGCTGCTGCCCCTCCATAGTCATTACAATGCCAGTGCTTGGCCTCTGGCTAATTTCCTTTCCAACACCCCCTCACACACACACACACACACACAGGGCCCTGCTACATCAGCTCACCCACTCCCTCTGCCTTTCTGCAGTCTCTTGATTTTAGAGAATAGACACATCGTATGATATTTATATTATATTTTCCATGCATTCAGAGTGGGAGGGGCCACAGCATCCTATTTCCAAATGAGTCCCCTCAAGCACATGCATTCACAGAGGGTATATGGAAGCTGAAAATTTAGTCCATAAGAAAAACCCCACTTCAGGATACAGCTAGAGTAGGAATACCTTGGCCCCTCCTCCCATAAGCAGGGTCCTGCCTCCTCATCAGGCCAGGAGCCAACCACGGACAGGCTATATGGGTGCTTGCGGTCTACCCTGTGCTGGGTATCATCCTAGGTGCTTTACTCACATTGCTGTTGTGTCAAGTTGATTCCAACTCATGATGGCCCCATGTTTTCCCAAGTAGAACTGCTTTGTAGGGTTTTCTTGGCTGTAATCTAAATGGAAGCAGATTACCAGGCCTCTTCTTCCACAGTACTGCAAATGGCCACCTGAAAGGTTAGAGGTTCAAACCTACCCAGGCTGGTGACCTGCTTCCAAAGGCTCACAGACTTGAAAACCCTATAGGATAGATCTACTCTGCACACCGGGGTCTCTATGGGTCAGAATTGACTCAACAGCAACTAGCAACAACACTGCCCTATAAGATGGGCTCTAGTATTGTCACTGATTCACATTTGAGAAACTGCCAGAATCTCAGTTAGCAAAGGCCAGAACCAGGATTTAGATGTAGGTTGGGCCCAACCAAATACATCTTGTCTTCCTCCGCCTTCCCGCCAGCCACCTATACCTCCCTTATCCTGCCCAGTCCTCTGGTGGCAGGGCCCATGTGGTTTCCTTCCTCTTATCTATCCTCAGCAGCCAGTGGATGTGATCTGTGTGCAGCCGGCCATCATTCTGCAGAGGTTATGGTCTGCAATTTTGCCCCTGGAGGACCACTCTGCAACTCAGAAGGCACTGTGGCACTCACGCAGCTCTTCACCTAAGCCCTCCTTACCGAGAGAAAGGAGGCTTGTGCCAAGGACTACTGGAGGGGAGATGAATGCTGGGAGTGGATTCGACTCTGGTCAGGACCCAAGGCACCCAGCCCTCCTCAAGACACTGTGTGAGCCAGGACAGCCCTCCAGACACAGCCCCTCCTGCCCCACCCCAGCCAGGGTGGTGCTTGTGGAGGAAGGACTTTAAATCCAGCTGCCAGACCCCTGGACGAGAAAGGCAGGGAGGACTGGCCACCATGCACAGCTCCCACAGCCTCCTGCTGTTTCTGCTGCTGCTGCTGCTGCTGGCCACCGCAGGCCCTGCTGGAGCCCTCACGGAAGAAGAGAAACGTTTGACGGTAGAGGCACACAACTTCTACCGTGCCCAGACTAACCCACCGGCCGCGAACATGCTGAAGATGGTGAGTGCAGCATGCTGAGATTAGAGGGGTGCTGGACAGGACTTCCCCACTCCCCCACCCCCACCCCGTGCTGAAATGATCTCTCCCTCTAATCAATGACAGAGAGTCCCCTGACATTCTATAATTTACAGTTCCCCACAAGGAGCCCCATTATACAGACGAGAAAACTGAAGCTCAGAGGGACGTGCCCAGGGTCACACAGCTGGTGAAGCCAGGCCCAAAGCCCCAGCTTCCCACTCCAGTGTCCCAACTCCTCCCCAGCACTTCCTAAAATGCATGCGTCCCTGGGAGGGGAAACACAGCAGGTTCTAACACCTTGGTGGAGCCAGACTTTCAGATGCTCTCCAAGGAGATGAGAAGACCAAGATAAGAAGAGCAGCAGGAAGGGTCTGAGCACCTGGGGCAGAAGGGTAGTTGGTACTAAGGAGGCAGGTGAAAACAGGAACCAGAGAGGGCACAAATTCTATCTCAGCCACCTACAAGGCCTGTGGTTTCAGGTGAGTCCCTTCACCTTGCTGATCCTCAGTTTCTCAACATGGAGCTCCCCAGGTGGTCCAAATGCTCAGTGTGCTCAGCTGTTAACCAAAAGGTTGGAGAGTCCACCCAGAGGTGCCACAGAAGAAAGGCCTGGTGATCTACTTTCAAAAAATCAGCCATTGAAAACCCCATGGAGTACAGTTCTACTCTGACACACATGGGGTCACCATGAGTCAGAATCTACTAATTGCCGCTGTGGGTTTGTGTGTGTGTGGATTGAATGTCACAAACACAATGTTGAACAGAAGAAAATACAATCTCAAAAAAATGTACACAGTAGGGTATATTGCTATGAAGTTTTTAAAACATGTGAAAAGGACTATTTATATGCTGGGGGGAGACACATGCAGATATAAACAAATGTACGTGGTAAATGTCCGGATGAGAGAGCCAGATTTGAGCCAGTGGTTACCTCTCCAGGAGGGAGAGGTATTTATTGGCAGGGATAGGAGGCAGCTTCAACTGCACTAAAAACCAAACCCATTGCTGAGTAGTTTCTGACTCATAGCGACCCTACAGGACAGAGTAGAACAGCCCCATAGGGTTTCCAAGGCTGTAAATCTTTACAGAAGCAGACTGCCATATCTTTCTCCCATGGAGTGGCTGGTGGGTTTGAACCACCTCCTCACAGTTAGCAGCCAACTGCTTAACCACTGCGCCACTAAGGCTCCCTCCCACTCAACTGCATTAGTAAGATTATATTTCTTAAAGTGAGTGGTGAGTCCACACATGTTTGTGCTCAGGATTAAAATTCACTCCCTTGCTCCCTTTCTTGAAAGCTGGTCTGACCCATCCCCTTCAGCCATCTCAGGTGGCCTGGGAGATTGGTGGGCAACACCCAAGAACCCTATGGCTGGTGCCTGGGACCAAGGTTGTACCTGGAGAACACAGCAGTAAGCTTGGTGACCCAATATCCAATTTCAACCTCAGCTCTGTCAATCTAACTGAGTGACTTTGTTTCCTGATCTATGACATGGAGCTGGCAATCCCTGCCCTGAGGTTCAGACAGGAGAACAACTGAGAAAGATCTAGGAAGGGCTTTATAGATGCACCTAACACCACCATTCACAGCCCCGTTGCCCTTGACAACCAGGAACTGAAGACAAAAAATCAAGAGCCCCAGATGCTCCTACACCAGCTCTACCAACAGCTCCCTGTGAAGCTTGGGTCTCCTTGCTAGACCTTTTCTTCCCACATGTATGGTCCCTGATGCCCTAAAGTCTTGTGGGTTGAGGCTGGAGGTGACACAGGTTGGGTGCTGGGTCAAAGCCTGCCTATGAGCAGAAGTGGACCCAGAGGATCAGATAATACTCTGGGAAGCAGTTTGAACACTGAGGGGATCCCCCAGGTCAAGCTGCTGCATGATGGGAAGTGATCTGAAGAAAGGGTGAAGGTAGGGACACCAGCATCGGATAATTTTGGGGCAGGACTCAGAGATGCAGAGAAACTGAGGCCAGATGGTCTGGGTTCAAAACTTGGCTTTGCCACTTACTTGTGTGACTTTGGCCAAGTTACTCTATGTGCCTCAGTGTCTTCATCTATAAAATGAAGATGAAAACAAGACCAACTCCTTTTCTGAGTTGTAAAAATTATCACATGAGTATAAAGCACTTAGAACAGTGCTTGGCACACAGTAAGTGCCCAACAGGTGTTTGGTTAACAAAAGAGAGAATGGAGCCAGGGTGAGGCAGGTGGCAGTTATCATGGACTCATCCCTCTCTCTCAGTATCCATATCCAATCATCACCAGTTTTGTCTCCAAGAAGGTTCAATTTTCCTTGAACCTTCCCTCTTTGCCATCTCTTTGGTCCAACCTTGGTTTAGTCCTTCATTTTTGCTCCCAGGGACTCCTAGGACAATGCCTACCTGCTCCCCAGCCTCTGACTTCTGCTGCCAGAATGACTGACCCAACACATGGGCCTGACCCTGCTTAAAACCCTTCCGCGGCTCCCAATGCCTCGGGATACAGCTCTAGCTTCTGAGAAGGCTCTGGGTGTTCTGGCCTCTGCCTCCTCCTCCAGCCTCCTCTCCTGCTCATCTTTTCCTTCTATAATTTGGACAGTTGTCTTTCCCACAACTAAAATGTTATTTCTCGCCTCCATGCCTTTGCTTATATGGCGCTTTCTGCCTTCCCCCCTCCACCTGACTAACATCTCAACTATTAAGACTTAGCTTAGTGTCTCCTTTCTCACCCTCAAGTTGGATTAAGTGTCCCACTTTGCTACCCCTATAATACTCATTGCATATTTATGGATTCATTTACTACATGGTGACTCAATTACCTAAGACAATGTAGATTTGGACTTTTTGGTTCTTGCTATCATCCTCGGCTGTTATAGTGCCCTGGACTATTGAATGAATAAATAAATGGATGAATGAATGAATGGGCTTGCTTCTAGATGGTGGCCATGCAGGTAGGTACAGGGACTATTGCAGCTCCACAGGGGGCTCTGGATGGCCAAAAAGTCTTAAGATCTTGAGGAATGACTCTCTAATGATGGGACTTCAGGCATCTCCTCAGAATGGGAATTACAGCTGTGCTCTGTAGGGGACACTGCTTTAAGTATCTTAGCTATAGCTGACAAAATATCTGTTGATATCTATGTGCCACCACTGTGCCAGCCAGTGGGGATATATCACTGCCCTTATCCTGAAGGAGCATATGTCTAGCCTGGAGCCTTGAAGGTCCTCCCAGACACTCTGATCCTCACCCCCAGCACCCTGCTCCTTTCCCACTCCCAATCTTCCAGAGTTTGAGGGACTCTCAATCATGCCAGTGATTTGGGACATCAATGCCCAGAAAGGGAAGGGGCTCACCTGAGTTCACAGTAGTGGGGTTGGTCTCAGACAAGTGCTCCCATCCCTGCCCCAGGCAGTTGCTCCTGCGAGTCTCGATTGGGTGTGGCTACAAGGCCCCTTCTCCTTAGGGTCACTTTGTGGGCCATCTAGCTCTCACAACTGGCTGGGCCCCCAGAGGGTGGAGCAAAAGTTGCTGCCAGGCCAACCATCCTCTTCCAGGAGAGGCCAAGGACAAGGTTTAATAGGAGCCAGGCCTCCCTCCTCAATCCTTTTGGTCATATGACTTGTTAATAATCCCTGCCTCTGATCCATATTCCAGTCTGTTCTCCCAAAGGGACACAGAATCTCAGAGGTCCTTTACCTAAAATACATCTCCTATCATCTAACAAAAACATCATCATCTTATCTGAAGTCCCCACTACAGAACACTGCCTTTGAGATTTGACAGTTATTGGGGTTACCAAGCCTTCAAAAATAGGCCCCTCGGTGAGATACCACACTGTTCTTTGGGGAAAGGAGTTGTCAGCTGAGAAAAGTTGAGAGGACACGGGAATGGCACTTGAGAGGGAAGCATTGAAGCAGGTAAAGGCAAGAAGGCTGGGTTGTACCAAGGGGTGGGAGAGAATAGAGAAGGGAGAGAAGGGTGTTGACTCCCCAAGTCCGACTGATAGGGGCAGAACTGGCCAAATAAACAGCCCATCCTCTGAACACCTCACTGGACTGTGGTCTTCAGAGCATGTACAAGTAGCTCTAGGAGGTGTGCCTGGGAGGTAGGCAGGGGCATCACTATCTAACTTTAAATAGAATGATTTTAATAATAACTCTGTCACAAACAAAATCTCATTTAATATTCCCACCCCATGGGAGTTCAGAAAGGTTAGGCAACCTGTCCCAAATCACACAGCGGGTGAATGGTTCCAAGTTTGGTTAACACCATAGCTCCAAATAGCACCCTCACACCTCCTCACAGAAGTCCACTTGCTCCAGGTCATGGCCAAGAGGCAACCACCTGAGGGGTGCTCTCCAGCTCCCAGAGGCCCTAAGATACCTTCATCGTTCTGCTCTGATCCCCCTAGAATCTGTGGGCATCCTCACTTTCTTCTCCCACCCCTCTCTCTCTCCTCCATCTCTTTCCTCCTCAACCTGCCCCCCACAGTTGTGGGACGAGGACCTGGCCATCTTTGCCAAGGGCTATGCAAAGCAATGCATATGGGCCCACAACCCTAATCGTGGGTGGCGCGGTGAGAACCTATTCGCCATCACGGGCGATAGCATGGACGTGCAGATGGCTGTGGCAGAGTGGCACCGGGAGCGTGATTACTACAACTTCTCCACGGGTACCTGCCAACCTGGACAGATGTGCGGACACTACACACAGGTGCACAGCTGGCTGGGTTGGGGTTGGGTGGGGCCATGTGGGCAGGGGTGGGTCCTGGGCCAGAGAGCCCAAAGGGAGGGTTGGGTGGGGCTTCCCTGTGTTGAAGTGGGGCCATGGGGCAATAAGCTAGGCAAGGTCATGGGGGCATGGCCTGGGTGGGGCCACAGGGGCAATAGTAAATATAAAACCCAGTATTATTTATTTAAATTTTTCGTTGTGATTTGGGTGAAAGTTTACAGAGCAAATTCATTTTCCATACAGCCGTTTATACACATTTTGTTTCATGACATTGACTGCAATCCCTATAATGTAACAGCTCTCTTCCCACTTCCTCCTCATAGTTACCTTTTCCCTGTGTCATCCTTTCCTATGCATTCCTGCCCTCTATTTCCTTGTGCAGATACTGACCTTCTGTTCTCCCATGATTGATCGTTCTAAGGAGTATGTCTCTGCTGTAAATGTTCACCCTATATGCCTGTCTATTGTTTGGCTGGAAGCCACGGGAGGGAGTTCAGTTCCAGGGCCGAAGGGTAACTAAGGGCCATAGTCTTGGGGGTTTCACCAGGCTCTGTCAGACCAGTAAACCTGGTCTTTTTTTATGATTTTGAGTTTTGTTCCACAGTGGTCTCCCACTCTATCCAGGATCTCCTGCACTGATCCCTTCCTCAGTGGTGGACAGTGGTAGCTGGGCACCATCTAGTTCTCATGATAAAACCCAGTTTTATTGTACTTTTGGTTTGTAGCTCTTCTTTTCACTCCTATATGATTGAAAAGGTAAATCAGTAAAGCAGTAATTATAAACCTATGCTATACACAATGTATAAAAATGTAACCTGTGACAATAATACTATAAAGGGAGAGGGACAGCAAGTATAGGGATAGTGTGTATGTATATCACTGTAACTAAGTTGATATTATTCAAACTAGGGTGTTATAAATTTAAATGCTAACTGTAATTCAAAGGTAACCACTAAGAAAATAACTAAAAAGATATATAAAAAAAGGAAAGAAGAAGGAAATCAAAACAGTACACTACAAAAATTCAACTAAATAATTTTTTTAAAGGACCATAATGAGGGATTAAGGAACAAAAAACATGTAAGATATACAGGAAACAAATAGCTAAATGGCAGAAGTAAATCCATTTTGTCAGTAATAACTTTAAATGTAAATGGATTAAACTTTCCTATTAAAAGGCAAAGATTGGCAGATTGGATCAAAAGAAAAAGCCATCTCAATCTGTCTACAGGAGACTCTGTTTACATACAAAGGCACAAAAAGGTTGAAAGTAAAATGATGGCAAAAAGACATTCTGTGCAAATAGTAACCAAAAGAGCACTGATGTGGTTATATTATTATCTGACAAAATAAACCAAAACCAAACTCACTGCCGTCGAGTTGACTGGACTCATAGTGACTCCTCCTTGGGTTTCTGAGGCAGTATCTCTATGGAAGTAGATTGCCCAATCTTCCTTCCAAGGAGTGGCTGGTGGGTTTGAACTGCCAGTCTTCTGGTTAGCCATCAACTGCCTTAGGCACTATGTCACCAGAGCTCCTATAAGACAAAATGTTGTTGTTGTTGTTATATACCGTCGAGTCGGACCCAACTCATAGTGACCCCTCCTTGGGTTTCCGAGGCAGTATCACTAAAGAAGTAGATTGCCCAACAATAGGCTTTAAAAATTACCAGGGACTGAGATCTGGTAGCGTAGTGCCTAAGGCACTTGACTAGTAACCAGAAGGCTGGTGGTTCAAACCCACCAGCCACTCCTCAGAAGGAAGGTTGGCAAACTACTTCTGTAGTGATACTGCCTCGGAAACCCAATGAGGGGTTGCTATGAGTCGGGTCTGACTTGATGAAACATAACAACAACAACAACAACAAGGACATTATATATTGATAAAAGTTTCCATCCAGGATTTCTAACAGAGCCCTGAAATATACGAAGCACAAATTGATAGAATTGCAGAGAGAAATAGTTCCACAGTAATAATTGGAGACTATAATACCCCACTTTTAATCATGAATAGGCCAACCAGATAGATTAATAAGGAAATGGAGGACTTGAACAACACTATTAACAAATTAGATTTAACAGAACATTCTACTCAACAATAGCAGAATACACACTCTTCTCAAGTGCACGTGGAACATTCTCTAGGACAGATCATATGTTAGGCCACAAAACAAGTCTTTGTAAATTTTCAGTGACTGGAGGGAAGGACACAGGGAAGAGGTATCTATGGTGAGGAAGTGGGAAGGAAGCTGTTGCATTGGGGTAAATTGTAGTCAATGTCATGAGACAAAGTGTATGTGAGCTGCTGTATGAAAAGTGAATTTGCTCTGTAAACTTTCACACAAATTACACACACAAAAAAAAATTTAAATGACTGAAATTATACAAAGTATTTCTTCTGATCATAATGGAATGAAGCTGTTGTTGTTGTTAGGTGCTGTAGAGTCATCTCTGACTCATAGTGATCTCACGTACAGCAGAACAAAACACTGCCCAGGCCTGTGCCAGCCCCATGATCCTTGCTATACCTGAGCCCACTGTTGCAGCCACTGTGTCAATCCATCTCATTGAGAGCCCTCTCCTTTTTCATTGTCCCTCCACTTTGCCAAGCATGATATCCTTCTCCAGGGAATGGTCCTTCTTACATGACCAAAGTAGGTGAGATGATATCTGGCTATCCTCGCTTCCAAGGAGTATTCCTGCTACACTTCTTCCAGGACAGATTTGTTAGTTCTTTTAGCAGTCCATGGTCCTTACAGCATTCCTCACCAACACAACTCAAAAGCATCGACTCTTCTTTGATCTTCCTTATTCATTGTTTAGCTCTCACATGCATATCAGGTGATTGAAAATACCATGGCTTGTGTCAAGCGAACCTTAGTCTTCAAGGAAACATCTTTGCCCTTCAGTACTTGAAAGAGGTCCTTTGCAGCAGATTTGCCTAATACTATATGACATCTGATATCCTGACTGCTGCTTCCATTGGTGTTGATTGTAGAACCAAGTAATATGAAGTCTTTGACAACTTCAATCTTTTCTCCGTTTATCATGATGCTGCTTATTGGTCCCATTGTGAGGGTTTTTGTTTTCTTTATATTGAGGTATAATCCATACTGCAGACTGTAGTCTTCAATCTTCATCAGTAAGTGTTTCAAGTCATCCTCATTTTCAGCGAGCAAAGCTGTGTTGTCTGCATAATGTAGGTTGTTAATGAGTCTTCCTCCAATCTTGATGCCATGTTCTTCTTCACATAGTCCAGCTTCTCAAATTATTTATCATACAAGTTGAATAAGTATGGTAAAAAGATACAACCCTGACATCCTCCCTTTTTTATTTTAAACCACGCAGTGTCCCCTTGTTCTGTTTGAGGACAGCCTCCTAGTCTATGTACAAGTTCCTCATGAGCACAATAAGTGTTCTAGAATTCCCATTCTTCTCAATGTTACCCATAATCTATTATGATCCACACAATCAAACGCTTTTCCATAGTCAATAAAACACAAGTAAACATCTTTCTGGTATTCTTTGCTTTGAGCCAAGATCCATCTGACATCAGCAATGATATCCCTCATTCCACGGCCTCTTCTGAATCGAGCTTGCATTTCTGGAAGTTCTCTGTCAATAGACTGCTGTAACCATTTTTGAATTATCTTAATGATATTGTTCAATAAGTCCCACATTCTGTGGGATCACCTTTCTTTGGAATGGGTACAAATATGGATCTCTTCCAGTCAGTTGGCCAGGTAGCTGTCTTCCAAATCTCCTGGCATAGCCGAGTGAGTGCCTCTAGTGTGGCATCCATTCCTGGAGCCTTGTTTTTCACCATTGCCTTCAGTGCAGCTTTTACTTCTTTCTTCAATACCATTGGTTCTTGATCATATGCCACCTTCTGAAATGGATGAACATCAACCAATTCTTTTTGGTACAAAGACTCTGTGTATTCCTTCCATCTTCTTTTGATGTTTCCTGCATCATTCAATATATTGCTCACAGAATCTTTCAATATTGCAACTTAAGGCTTAAATTTCCTCTTCAGCTCTTTCAGCTTGAGAAATGCTGAGTGTGTTCTTTCTTCTCTTTTGGCTTTCTAACTCCGTATCTTTGCACATTTCACTATAATAATTGACTTTGTCTTCTCAAGCTGCTCTTTGAAATCTTCTGTTTAGCTTTTTTATCTTGTCATTTCTTTCATTTGCTTTAACTACTCTCCATTCAAAGGCAAGTTTCAGAGTCTCTTCTGACATCCGTTTTGGTCTTTTCTTCCTTTCCTGTCTTTTTAATGACCTTTTGTTTTCTTCACAATGATGTTCTTGATGTCATCCCACAATTCCTATGGTTTTCGGTCATTGGTGTTCAATACATCAAATCTATTCTTTAATTGGTTTCTAAATTCAGAAGGGATATAATCAAGGTCATATTTTGGCTCTCGTGGATTTGTTGTAATTGTCTTCAACTTCAACTTGAACTTGCAAATGAGCAGTTGATGGTCTGGTCTGTTCCACAATCAGCTCCTGGCCTTGTTTTGACTGAAGATATCGAGCTTCTCCATCACCTCTTACCACAGATGTAGTCAATCTGATTCCTATGTACTCCATCTGGCAAAGTCCACGTGTATAGCTGCTGTTTGTGTTGTTGAAAAAAGGTATTTGCAATGAGTAAGTCGTTGGTCTTACAAAATTCTATCATACGATCTCCAGCATAATTTCTACCTCCAAGGCCAAATTTTCCAACTACCAATGATTCTTGTTTGTTTGCAACATTTGCATTCCAGTCACCAGTGATAATCAGCACATCTTGATTTCATCTTTGTTCAATTTCAGACTTTAGAAGTTGGTAAAAATCTTCAGTTTCCTTATCTTTAGCTTTGGTGGTTGGTGTGTAAATTTGAATAACAGTAGTATTAACTGACTTTCCTTGTAGGCATGTGGATATTATTCTGTCACTGACAGCGTTGTACTTTAGATCTTGAAACATTCTTTGTGA